GTTAGTTGTTTCCATGCTAGCTTTATATAAAACAGCATATATTTTTTAAAATCTAAGATAAAACAAAACAACAGCTATTAGACTTTTTACTACCACTCTGAATATAACAGATAGTTTTTCTCCATGAGACATCAGAAGTTCTATGATTATCTGCATTATGCCTTGGTTTCTGTTTAGAATCCCAATTCAAAATGTTTACAATTAAAAACTAATTATACTGCACACATCCTACAAAAAACCCCCACAATATCCCACTATATATGTAAAAAAGACCACATATTCACATTTACAAAAAAACACCTCAGCTGACCACAGATAACCAGTAGAAAAAATGAGACTACAAATAGTTATCTGGCTCTTCCATTTACATCAATATGAAAGTGTATTTGGATTGCATCGATTTAACTTGGCAAGTGAAAAGAGATATTAACAGATACTAAGTTTACAGGTTTACATCAATTTAAAATTACTACAGCACCCTGCAGGACACTGCCCCGTTAGAAAAGGATCTATAAAAACACTCATCAAGGAGATGGTCAGCATCATACTGTGCATTTACGGGTACAAATACGATAATTTACTTTCACAAAATACAAGACATCATGTTTTCAAAGCAGTCACCACTTTTAAAAGCAACATTATCAGTTTCCCCTAGCACCGCAGTTAATAGTAGTCTAATGAGCAAGTTATCACTTTAATTTTGAAAAGAAACAAATATACATAATTCCTGTAACATAACAAAGCTCAAGTGTACCTGAAACCTTCAGACAATTAGATTTCCTATTCTGCTACTTTAATAACTGTGAAATGACCTGAAATAAAATGTCTCAAACACTCACTTGCCATTATTGGTGTTTGTTTCATGTTTCTTCTGAAGCAACTACAGCACTCAGTTTGAGGAGGGGAAATACTGATGAAGAACAGAAACTGACTCTCAGTGATTGCACCTAGTCAAGTCAATCTCTTCTGGATGCTTTGATTTGCTTTTAATCAAACAGTCAATAAACTTACAGCAAAATTCAACAGGACCCGCCGGGCTCAAGCACTTGCCCTTTCTGCTTCCTTGGAACTTACCAAGTATCTGCTGATTACATGGAAATCACCCTTCACAGAAATCAAAGTAAGGGAAATGGAGAATTTATGTACAAAAAAATCGAAACACACACAGTGTCATTGCAAGTAAACTGAAAAGAAGCCTTGGCATAATATTTCCCTCCTGGCCTCATAGTTCCTCTCCCAAGGTACAGTCTGACAACAGCCACAGCTCCCCGAGAACCTCATCCTAAAGCTACCTTATAGACAGAGGCTCTCTGCAGAAGAGACACTGTGACGTGGAAATTCAGAGACTTTCAAACGCAGCTTTAAGAGTTTCTTAGATCCAAAACTCTTCCCCTCCTGACGGATTTCTCAGTCCTCGGTTCAAACAGCCTTCCTGTCATTAGATGTGCTGTGCTCATCTTCCAACTTTTGGAAATTTGAAGCCCTGTGTAGGGCCAAAACCACCAACCAGGTAACACAGGCAGGTAATTTCTGCTCAGGCACTCAGCAAGCAAAGACTTAACTCACATTGGCAGCAGAGGAGTAAGTGTATCTGAAAAGCACTGGTTCCTCAAATCTGTCTTTCACAGACAATGTGAAAGCTCTCAAACCCTACTGCAGTGAATCAGCCTATGTTACCAAAAGATACCACTATAGCTAACTCCATGATGATGATAATGTTACCTGGCAGCCCAAAAATGGCCACAAGGAATAATGGCATGGTGTATGCTTGAACACATAACTGTAAAATTATTTAGTGGTT